ACATAACACAATAGAAAGATTTGAAAAGTTTGCATATCTAATAGGTTAAAAAATTAAAAATGTTACCCATGAAAAAAAGCTATTATTTAAAGCCTGTCAGAGTACCCCCTCCAATTTTTTTATTTTTTGGTTAAATAACTCCAGGTTTTGATGCATTGTAGTAGAACTCTTCTAGTTACATCTGCAAATGACAAATTTTAGGAAAGTGTCATAGTTTGCAAATGGGGGGCACCGCCCCCAAATGGGGTAACTTAGACCACCTAATGTCAGCCCTGACGGGGTAAAATAGACCGGCTTGAAAGTTAATATAAAATTACCATATATAACATATTTTATGTTTGACAGCCTATTTATGTTTTTTCTTTAGGTTTCAGACTCTACAGAGTCTTATATATGGTAATTTAACTTAATTTCCAGGCCGGTCTATGTTAACCCTGTCAGGGCTGCCATTAGGTGGTCAGATTTCTCCCGTTTGGGGGAACTTAGACCACCTGGGGGGCGGGACCCCCCATTTGCAAACTATGACACTTTCCTCAAGTTTGTCATTTGCATATGTAACTAGAAGAGTTCTACTACAATGCACCAAAACCTGGAGCTATTTTACCAAAAAATAAAATTGATTTTACCACCCAATCAAAGAAACCCCAAGAGCTGGGGTAACAAAGACCATCACTTTTTTTTTGAAATTACAACAGAACTATGAGAGGCAGGAGCTAGCAATTTTTGGTGATTGAAGCTAGAGTATAGACCTGTATTTTTCAGGTTTCAATTCAAGTTTAACTTATCTAGTAAAAAAATGACATCATTTTGAAAAAAAAAGTGGACAAACTTACCCCATTTTATGGTAGGGTTTTTTTGGGGGGGGGGATCAAAAAAATTTGCAAAAAATGCCCTTCCACCTACAAAAGTTAAAATGTCAAAAAACACCTACCCAGGTTTTTAGATAAGGTCTTTATGCATCAAATGATATGTGTCTCAATGTTGTAGCTTCAAAGCCCTAGGAGGAGATAGATTTCTACAGTACCCCCTTTTAGCTGTTTTCTAAGAATTTCACATTATATTTCATTTTTTTCAAAAAATTCACATGAAAATAAAACAAATAAAAAAACTTGAAAACCATGTTTTCTTAACGGACAAAAAAGAAAAACATTTACTCTTACATAACATTAAAGTTATGTAAAATGTTATGTAATGTTATGTAAGAGTAAATGTTTTTCTTTTTTGTCCATTAACAAAACATGGTTTTTAAACGTTTTTTATTTGTTTTATTTCATCATTTTTAGTTTTATAAAGACAAGAAAAATGTGGTTTTTAAAAATGGTATTTATATTTATTTATTTTCTACATTTTACTTTAGCAATTTTAGCAATTCAAATCAGTTACTAAGGTTGGCAAGTCTGGATGTTTGACAAAAAACTTAATTCCCAACCATAAAATTTTAATTTTTTTACATTCATTTTTTTCTAAACAAATTTTTTCAATTATTACTGCTGACGATCAAATCTTGAATTGTTAGGCAGCATAAGCATGCATGCCAAATTTCAAGTTTCTAGGATGTTCAGAAGAGCTCTAAATTAAAGTCTGAATTTTTTATGACAGACAGACAGACACAAAACGAAGCTAAGAAAAACATGGTAAAAAGTCTTTGATTTATGTTTTACACATGTGTACCAAGTTTCAAAGTGATCCATCCTCAAATAAAAAAGTTTTGGGGGGACCAAGATGCTCCCCTTGAGCTCCCTAAAATTTGACCATCAAGCATCAAATTAGTTATTATTGCTTTGAATGTTAAATTTCAGCCATTGAAAAAAAAATTATTTTAAATCAAAAGAATAGCTACTGGTGGTAAACTAGCTATGAAAACATTGTACTAAGAAATTTAAAGCTCACAAATAAATATTAAGCTACCAAAATATCTAACATGCCTAATTTAGACTCCACAAATTCCAAAATGTGTTCAAATGAAATCATGCAATATGGTATCCTTGTTTTCAGCTGTGGCTCAAACTTGCATGTTGATGTCATTTTAGTCTAGTGAAAAGAATTGATGCAAGCCAATGGTTTTTGGAAATCCTAGTACTTTGTATAAATATGTTTTTATTTGTTAGCACTATGTTTTACTAAGCTAGATCTTTCAGCATTATATGTGATTTAATAATTGAATATCAAAACATAAATAGTTGAAATCATATCCACATCATATGTGTCTATTCCTTACATACCACTGCAATTTATTTTTGCTTTGCTCCAGTATGAAGAAACTAATGTGAAAATATTGTGCTTGCTTAATAATGCATTGTTGCTTATTAAACTAGTTCAGAATTGAAATTTGCAACTTTTTCTCAGTATCCATAGGACCGTAGCATTGTATGTTATTTTTCCATAACAAAATTTTTTCTATTACCCTTGCTGCAAATTATTCCTGCTCACCCATCCTTACTATTACAAATAAGTATTTGCTGCCTACGCCCAGAATATCTCTTCCCGGTGTCTAATGAGGTAGATGATAGCTTGAAAAGTCTTGGTTAAAATGGAAAATGCATACAAAATAAATGGCTAAATGATGTTGCTTGACTTGAGAAATTTTTGTCTGAAGTCTCCATGCTACCTATTTAAATTCTATCCATAGAATTAAATGTTGAGAAAGTCCCAATTCATTAGACCTCATACGTGTACTTTCTTTCTGTGTGTGACATTGTTAGCACAAACGTCTAATGTTTTCATTGTGCAAACTAGAATAATTTATTTCATGAAGCTTGGAATAAAGATGTACCGTCAACCGGGGCTACTCGGGACGGGCGGGATAACTCGGGACAGTCCTCCGACACGGCGTAAAACTGTTTTAGTAGCAAAACTAATTGGAATATCACAAAACTAAATATAATGGCATAAACGTCAACATTTTTCCTATCTATGTAGTATAAAGGAAGTTAAAAAATACTACATTTATTACCTTTGAAAAATTCCTGAAAAAAATGGTGAAAAACGACATTTTGAAAAGTTACTTATGCTAAGGTCTGTAGTAAAAAAAGTGGCAGACAAGTGTCAGCATGAAAACTTCATTTGCGGAATTTGCATACCTCAATCCCCCCCAAAAAAATTACAGCAATTTCCACTCGGCAGGGCTACTCGGGACACCCCCAAAAATGCATTTACAGCAGAACCTCAGTTAGCAAAGGCTCAAGTTAAGAAAAAAATTGATTAAAAACGAAAAACAAAGAATATTGATTTCATTTACCTCGCTCAGCGAAAAAAATTTCACTAATCGAAAAATTAGTGCATCATCGGTCATCACAAAATTGTGCATAGAAAGTCATATATAGAATTGTGCACCAGGCATCATAGAACAAAAAGTAATTGACCTAAACTATGATTTATTTCTCCAAAACATATGATGGTTGTCACTGAAACATTCTTTTCTGTTTCAGGTATGTTTTTCAAAATCTTTTTTATAGTAAATTCACTCAACCCAATTAATATAGTGTGAAATCACAAGCCGTCCTGTAAGCTTACAGATAAAGAAAAAATGCTATAAGGCTGCTGATATGAAGCTTGCAGTGGACAAGGTTGTTGTAAATGCTCAATGGCATGTTCATGGATACGGTAATATTGCATCAATAATACGGTAATTAATGTATATGGTAATATCATATCAATAAAGGAAAAACGAGTAAAAATCACAGAAAATGTTATTTATTCTACCTCTACATCATCTACAATGAAAGAAAAGGACTTCAGAGTACTGTTAGCAATGGATGAGTACGCTTTGCACGCTTCAAATGTTTTAAAATGAAGTTTTATTCCAAGTGAAGCCCCCGTCAAACGGGGCTACTCGGGACCCTTTTTTTTTGCTTCTGGCACCTTACAAATAGCATATGGAATTTTTTTAGAGAAGCCATGTGATAGCCCTTGCAAAGAGCTTTGAAATGAGCCTAAACTTGTTTGTGAAATGTTTCATGGTAAGAAGTTATGAATGAAAAACTTTCAAAATTGTCCCGAGTAGCCCTGGTTGACGTTATTAGTTTGTCTAGTAGCATCAGTTTTAAAATATTAGTTTTTAGCACAAAAATATCATAAATTGGCAATCTGCTCAGTTTGAATGATGCTCCTGCTGATGTAGTCCTGATGATGGATTTGCAGTCATTGTCCAAAGACATAGGTATTTATGTTTGTTATTGATCTACCTACTGCACACTCCTTTACTTTTGATGTGCATATCTATTTTATCAAATATCTTTATCACTTTAAAATAAGCATAATCGTGAGTTTTATTCATTATCATATCATGAAATGTCTGCCAAAAATATGGAGGAATGGATCTTAGGAAGAAAATAGTGTTGTTAAAATCATTTTTTATTGGATTAACTTTAACTTTGCATTTTGTAACATCTATAATCAATCACAATCTTTTATTCTTAATTATTATCTAACTTGTGAATTTCTAGTACTCTTTTTAATCCATGAGCACAACCCTGGCTTACTCATTAAACATTTTTCAGGTCTAGGCTTTGCTCAACGCTGGCTGTCCTTGACTCCATCAATGCTGTCAGCAATGCAGTTGACCAAGAAAGATGGCATTGCTGTCATTTACTTGGACCAGCCAGGCAAGGTCAATGTGCTCAATGAAGAGACTATGGTCAGTGTTGTTAAATACATGACTGAAATAGAGACATCTCCAGACATCAAGGCTGCAGTCCTCATCTCCAAGAAACCAGGCTGCTTCATTGCTGGTGCTGACATTACCATGCTGGATAAGGTCAAGACGGCTGCTGATGGTGCTGCCATTGCAGCTGAAGGCCAAAGCATCATGGACCGCATTGAGAAGTCTCCCAAGCCCATTGTTGCAGCCATCATGGGCTCATGTCTTGGGGGTGGACTTGAGGTGGCTATGGCGTGCCATTACCGTGTAGCTGTGAAGGACAAGTCCAGCTTAGGTCTGCCTGAGGTGATGCTTGGACTCTTGCCTGGCAGTGGAGGAACTCAGCGCACTCGTAAGCTTGTTGGGCTACCCAATGCTCTTGATATGGCACTTACTGGTAAAACAATCAAGGCTGAGAAGGCCAAGAAAATGGGACTTGTTGACCAGCTTGTAGATCCCATTGGCCCTGGACTAATGGACCCAGAAACCAGAACTCTTGAATTTCTAGAAGAGGTAGCCATTCAAACTGCCAAGAATATAGCCAATGGAGACCTCAAAATACAACGAGGTCCCAAGACAACAATGGAGAAATTAATGCAATCGGCTCTGCAGTACAACTTTGTGAAGAACTATATTTTCAACAAGGCTAAAGAGCAGGTCATGAAACAAACTAATGGTGTTTACCCTGCTCCCTTGAAGATCCTGGAAGTCATTCGAACGGGACTAGATAAGGGGATGCAAGAAGGGCTCAAAGCTGAAGCTCAAGGCTTTGGAGAACTGCTTGCCACGCCAGAGTCCACTGGCCTCATGGGGTTGTTCCATGGACAAACCGAGTGCAAGAAAAACAAGTTTGGACCTCCTGCAAGACCACCGAAGGTGCTGGGAATTCTGGGTGCTGGTCTCATGGGTGCAGGCATTGCTCAAGTATCCATTGACAAGGGCTACCGGACCATCCTGAAAGACATGAGCGAGGCTGGCCTCGCAAGGGGCATTGATCAGATACAGAAAGGCGTCGACACGGCCGTCAAAAGGAAGCGATATAGCCGCTTTACTGGTGAGCTCAACATGAGCAACCTGGAAGCTACCTTATCCTACGATGTATTCAAGGATGTGGACATGGTCATTGAGGCTGTGTTCGAGGACATTGCCCTCAAGCATAAGGTTATTAAGGAAGTTGAGAAGCACATTCCTGAACACTGTATATTTGCATCGAACACTTCAGCTCTGCCCATTACCAAAATAGCAGAGGGCAGTAGCAGGCCAGAGAAAGTTGTTGGCATGCACTATTTCTCCCCAGTCGACAAAATGCAGCTGCTCGAGATTATCACTACGGATAAAACTAGTAAAGAAACTGCAGCTGCTGCCGTACAGGTCGGGCTTAAGCAAGGCAAGGTCGTCATTGTAGTAAAGGACGGCCCAGGCTTCTACACTACCCGCATTCTTGCTCCCATGCTGGCTGAGGTCATCAGAGTGCTGCAGGAGGGAGAAGACCCTAAGAAGGTAGACAAGCTCTGCAAGAAGGCTGGCTTCCCTGTTGGTGGCGTGACCCTCGCTGACGAAGTAGGTCTTGATGTCGCCGTCCACATCGCCAGTTTCTTGGGAAAAGAATTCGGCCACCGCGCTGGTGGTGCCGACTTTAGGGTCATGCAAGACATCGTTGCTGCCGGCTTCCACGGCCGCAAGTCCGGCAAAGGCTTCTTCGTATACGAGAAGGGCTCCAAGGACAGGCCTATCAACACGGGAGCTGAAGATATCCTCAAAAAGTACAAAGTTGAGCCCCGAGGCTGCCAGAGTGACGACGACATCATCATGAGATGCTTGTCGCGGTTCATCAACGAGTCCATCTACTGTCTGCAGGACGGTGTCCTCGCCTCGCCCGTGAGTTTTACGGAATATTTTTCCGTATGGACGTGTTGCTGCTATTTTATGAAATTTAATATTAAGATAGTTGAGTTACATGCCCCATCGCACCTCTTATGAATGTCAGTAGAAAGAGTAAATGATTTTATATTTCAATATCAACTGAAAGGTGCATTTATTTTATGCATTTGAATAAAATGATTTGCGATGATTTGCCTTCATCTACTCCAGTGCTATATAAATAACTAAATATCTGGACCATGAAATAGGGTACGCATATTTTGTTCATTTGTTATACTTAATTGCTGTTAACTGGTTCTATAATTGCCCCACATAGTTAACGGTCTTGTTAATAACAATTGTTACAGTTGGAAGGAGACGTCGGTGCCGTTTTCGGACTTGGCTTCCCGCCCTTCACTGGAGGACCTTTCCGGTGAGACATTTATTTCTTATTTTGATTCATTTCGGTAGCATGCTGGAGAACTTTGAGTTCTATCTTTCTTTGATTAACGGAAACGTTTCACACTTTTTGCATATAGGTTCTATGTATGAACATAATTTATTATAATTTTAAATGCAAGTACAATTTTTAGTGATCTTGTCCTACCTTGTGAATATATTAACTTTAAATTGCTGGTGGGGCTTTTTGATTGAGTTGCCTGGCAAGATTAATTCCTAGACATATTTGTTATTGCTTCAGTGCTTGCCACCACCGTTTCAATTATAATTTTTTTGGTGCTCTTTCTTTACGTTACGTAATGACATTTCCGGGTAATGTTTCTAAAAAATTACGTTATTGATTCTCATTGTAACTTACATATTATTGTAGATTTTCACTTTATTTGCCATAACTCTAGTGTTATTGAGTTACTAATATTCAATCGTCACAGACAAATTTAGTCTTCATGAGTGCATGCAATCAGCACCGTAACTTATCATTAAGTTGATCGGTTGATAAATGAGTACCTACCTGGCTTGTCCAGGGTATTTTGTAATGCATTAAAATAGTTCTGGCGGGTCAGCGAGCCAGTGATGGTCGTGGAACTAGCAAGTGCCCGGAAAATCTGACCTATCACTACCCTACCTTCCCTAGTCGCCACTACCAGGATGGGCAATTACAACAAGTTGATCGGTATTGTGTTGATGTTAAATCATTGTTCCTTATTAAGGTACGTAACGTTCCTTGCTCAGGTATGTTGACAACTACGGTGCAGCCAAGCTGGTGGGCAGGATGGAGCAGTTCGCCGCCGCATACGGTCCTGAGTTCCAGCCCTGCCAGCTGCTCCTTGATCACGCCAAGTCCGGCGCCAAGTTCTACAAGAAATAAACCCACTGAACCTTCCTACATAATGTTCAGTTGTTCAAAAACTGAACCTACCTAAGATTCATAATTTCTCTAAGAACTGAACCCTAACATCCTCGAAAATAAACCCAACACTCGAACGTTCATGAGCTTCAACTTGTCAAATGATCACTTAAGCCCCGTTATGTCAGCTGTCGATTAGACCACGAACTCCAGAGGGAGATTCCTAGAAACTACTAAATTATATTTGATCGAAATTGTTCATTACATTTTAACCTAATACTCCATTCATGTAAGACACAGTGTAAATAATATTATATTTATTGAAACTTGACACGAGCGAATTTGAAATTACTTGCGAAATTTCAATCGTACTTACAGGAATATCACCTTGTAAAGTTTTCATCTGCTATGGCAGACAGTGATTCCAAATATCACTTATATATTTTTGTATAAGTAATGTCTACCCCCTATTCAGATTTAGGTTGAATGTTTGTACTGGATTCCAAGGGAACTTTTTTTTTCATTTCAGCTTTTTGAACAAATCAATTGACGTTCAGGGAAGGCTGTTGACTGGAGAATCAAATGAAATTTTTTTTATTTTTTCTAAATCAAAAGCTCAAAATAATAGATGTTTAATATATTGCTTTCGAGAACAAAATACACACAAAATTCTGAAAATCTTAACATGTGCTAATACTCAACTCGTATTGAAATTTATGAAAGCCATTGAAAGAGATGACAGTTCTAACTTCTTCGAGTGGGAGAGCGGCCTTTCATTTCCTTGCAGTTAGCTCTCAGTCTACATGCTGTATATCTTGCATCCAGTGTACATGCTGCTGTCTCGCATCCAGTGTATATGCTGTCCTTGTCTCACTATGACTAGACCGCGTCCTGTTAAGCAGTTTTGTGAGATAAGATGGACTTGAGAACGCGTTGTGTGCCTTTTTAGATAAAAAATTTTTATTTAATTGTGAAAGCGGTTGGTAGCTACTTCTACTTAAGGGTTGGGTTATCAGTTGAAAAGGGTTTGCTTCCAACTGATGGTAGGGTTCGTGATTATCACTTTGATTCTCGTTGTAGACTTCGTCAATTGTTTTGAATTATTAATTCTGGACATTAGTTTGTTACTTATATTGAACCAAAACTATCACTCTATTACATACCCTGAGATATAAATTGGGACAGTTACTAAAAATGCGAAATTTTATTAATGTTTTTGTATGAAAAAAATCTTTCAAAAATTTTATTTTAGAAGTTTCGTGCGTTAGCATTGTCTATATAATTCATAAAATGAAAATATTCAAGAAAGGGTTTGCTTAACAATGTGCCATTCATATTAAATATATATTTGATTAATACTAAAACTGAAGATTTGAGTATTCTAATGAGGAGACTTCCTCTTATATATTGTTTTTTCTTTATTCCATGACAGCAAATTACCAGGAATTGTAACTGCTTTGCGAGGATTATTTGCACCAAATTGAATTTATTCTATAACCCTGGATTGACTACAAGACCGTCCACTCCTGATTGTGACAAGTGCTCTGAAGCACAGCATTTGACAAACAAACTTCATGCAAGCTTTGTTATTTGTGCTCCATTCGAGGAAGTTCTCAGGAACCTGCCTGGATATTTTGACGCTAAGTTCGATATTATTGCGCTAAATATCGGCTACTTAAGCAAAAAATGATCAGGAAGTTCAATTTATAAGTGCTATCCGTCTTTGATGAAGATATCCGGTTTGTATAGAAGGATATCTTTATCTTTTTTTTTTCTTGTTTAGGTACAATTATATTAACCATAACAGCGCTGTCAATGCAAGTATGTGTGTAAGGTTCTTTTCTTCTTTGGTGACTAATTCCTTCATGTGGTGTGTTGATTTTTTGCAGGTGTAAATGAAAATACAAACTATTTTAGCCATGCTTCGTTCATTACATCCATCGTTAGGGGCACACAGCCGAGCGCGGTGTTGCTGCGATTTAATCCATTGCTAACTATTCGCTGCACCGCCCGACGTACGACCAGGGCTACTGCATTGTTTGGTCCACTCTATGGACAGCTTCCTACTCCCGTACCAAATATCTTTTCATCATCACTATTTTTTCATTTCCCGAATAATAATTGGTTTGTGTAGCTTTTATATTACGAATCGGCAATAACCTATTTTTTTATTATTATAACAATTTGCTGACTCCGAATAAAGAAACTTAAACTCCGAGAAATTTACTGTTTCTCAGTTCCACAGGGGATGGAAAAGCCGTTTCTATCCGCTGTAGATAGGAATGACATTCCCAGCTGTGTCTTCAGAATGGGAATGCCATTTCATTCCTGGTTGGAGGAATGACATTCCCATCGGGGACGTGACGCTCCCCTGGATTCCTGAGTCTCGGAACATAATTTTCTCTACTAAATATTGCCTCCTCAGGGGGGACTTCTGACGGGTGTCTATGCTCGTCAGAAGTCCTATGGGATTTCGCGCTCCTAGGGGGATTGTTCCTGAGCGCCCCACCGCTGAGCTCGCGGTGCCTGACTGTAGGTCTCAGTTGTGGGGTTAAGTTATTATGTAGGTAGGATTCCTTACATAAAGTTATTATGTAGGTAGGATTCCTCACATTAAGTTATTATGTAGGTAGGATTCCTTACATAAAGTTATTATGTAGGTAGGATTCCTTACATAAAGTTATTATGTAGGTAGGATTCCTTACATTAAGTTATAATTTCCCTTCTCTGTCTCTCTCGTGCGGGAGGCCGACGTCCCGTGTAAGCGACCTCTTGTTCGAGTGTCTTCGTTTCTGTTGCTTTTCACCTGTCCCTCCTTGTCACTTCGTCTCTTTTGAGATGCTAACGCTGCTTTTTCGAGCCAGCTTCAGCGGGCTGGACAATTGAGACCTTCCGCTCCTTGTGGGTGATGAACGATTTTTGTCTAAGTAACTTTCAATAATTTAGACCTTCCACATCGTTGGTGATGTTCGTCTTAACTTTCGGTGCGAGATAAGCTGAATAGCTGAAGCGCCAGTAAACATGTGGCAACTAAACTAACAAAATATATAACTAAACTAACTAACAGAAAAAGGTTTCACGTTCTTGCCAGTTTTCTTAAGTGATGTTATCGGTAATACATTCCAGTATTTGGAGTCAGCCTGAATATTATAACAAGAATGGTGCTTGATACAAGTCTGAACATTATTCTCGCATTCACCGTTACTCAAGATTGTAGTGTTTAGGGTCGAAAAGAGCGTTGAGCCTGTCCAACATTATTGTTTGGTGAATATTTCAAAACCTCTTTGTCTATAAACCTTCTAACAGGTACTTGCATATACTTCCTCTCCAGAGTCTAGAACAGCTGTTTTGAGAAAAGTTTTTATTTACTCAGCTTTTTTTAGTTAAGTTCATATTAGTTTAGCTAGAAAGTTCGTTACAATACAAGTTAAAACGATGCCGTTAATGAAACAATTACTAAGAGCCTTGGAATCACACAAAAGAAGAGAACTATTTTCATTAAATCACTGCATAATGCGACACAATCCCGCTCTCAAATTATGGACACCTGAAAATATCGCGTCCAGTTCCTATATTAACTACACAGCATTCAAAACTGACGTACGATATTTACATTCTTCCTCGACAATCAATAACGCGTCAAATTTCTGTATTAATTGCACAGCATGCAGAACCGACATGCGACACTTCTATGCTCCCCCGACAGTTATCGCGTCGTGTTCTTATAATAAATACACGGCAGACGTGAGACACTTGCACGTTTCCTCGTCGCTCCTGATATCGAATGACTCAAAGAACCGCAAGCGGGAGCTGCTGCGAGCCACGGGCTCCAAGACCGGCAGCGAGAAGGCGAGGGCGGCAGCGCAGTCCACCGAGATCTCGCTTATTGGGACTGAAGGCGAGTGTCGACCCCGCTGATTAATATTAATAATCATGTGTCAAAGATGACGATTTATACGGTTTTTAGTTCAATATATGTTTCGCTTAATATGACGACGTTTCCATGAATGTATTGCTTGAAAGTGTTGATGTTCCTGGAAAGTATATCTTGATATGGTTAATGCTTCACGAAAGAATCTCTGTTTGACGCCAATGTTCCGTGAATGTATAGCTTGATGCGGTATATGTTCCTGGAGAGTATTGCTTAATACGGCCACTGTTTCATGAAGGAATCTCTGTCAGACTCTAATGTTCCATGAATGTATTGCTTGATGCGGCATATTTTCTATGTAGGTTCATTGCTGTGGTTCGCTTAAAGAAGGCTCTTGCTCCCTGCCCAGGACTGGTAACCGTGATGACGCTGGTTGAAGCCGAACGTCTTGCCGAGCGTCGCAGTCTGCGTCTCGTGCGACACGCTGACAAGGAACTCGAGGCCAAAGGGCGGCGCCCTGTGTACAAGCTCATCACCCACAAGGAGTACTTCGAGGTCACCAGCGCAGAGAAGAAGAGAATGGCTGGGTCCTACATTAAGGTGTGCAGGGCTTCGTGAGCATAGGATGGTGACACTAAGACAACTATTATAGACATACGGTACGGTACTATGAGAACTGTTATAGATGTGATGTCTTAGCCTTAAGCGAAATTTTCGGCACTTGGTTTACAAGGGTTATGTTAAAGGTCTTAGAATAGTTCAAATCACAAAATTTAGAAACGAATACTGCAAATGCTTCTTGGACAAATGATCTAAAGTTGTCATTATACTATGAAAGCTGTTTCACCTATACCTGGATAACTGTTTAAAATATTCACCTAATCTAGCCATTAAATGGTTTTTAATATATTTAAACATCACCATTGCAGGGTGAGAGTCGAATGGAATTGTCGTACAAAATATCCCAGAATGACTTGCAGTCCAAGATCAAAACAATGATCCGGAACCTCAACAAGGGCAAGCAAATCAAAGTCAATCTTTCCGGCTCCGCAAGTTCGCAGAAGCAGTGCGTGAGTAAACCTGCAGTGAATTTTTTACATAATGTACGAGATCATGAACGCCATGTGCGTTATTTAGTGTTCCACGAACTGTGGTACGTGAACGTCAACAATGCTGTAGACTGTAGAGCATAAAACATTTACTGCGTAACGTAAGATTGCCGTATGATTTGCCACGTGCCATCCACTAACGCCCCCACATTTGAATTCATATTTACAATACTATCTTATTATCATCGTATTGAGTAATATGAAATGCAATTAATGCCACATGATGGCGGCTAAAATGTGGTCTTGATTGGTGATACGCGGTGGTATGTGTCGATCTTATATGCTGCATCTCTAAGAGGTCCGCGATTAGTAGAAGTTTGAGTTAAAGTTGAAAAGTTTTGTTAAAAGTTGGTAAACCATATTAATAAATTAAATAAATTAAGTGAAGAGTTTGGTAAATAAATTTAAGGCTCTGACGCTGGAAAAGATTGATCACATCGTGGGTTAGTGTTAATGTTTATATATGTGCATATTACTAACGATTTATTGAGGTATGTATTATGGGAGTTTTTTTCAATGAAGAAATTCTATTCGATTTCAAAATGTAGATGTTATAATTGAATGATGTTGATGCAATATCTAGCAACGTCGATGCAATATCTAGCTACGAATGATGTTGATGCAATATCTATCAACGTCGATGCAATATCTTGCTATGAATGATGTTGATGCAATATGTAACAACGTCAATGCAATATCTAGCTACGAATGATGTTAATGCAATATCTAGCAACGTCGATGCAATATCTTGCTACAAATGATATTGATGCAATATGTAACAACGATTTTTTTCGTGCAGGATGACGTGATTGCAGCCATAGAAGCAGGTGTTGCAGGTGCAGGAGGCAAAGTACTGCAGGTGCAGAAGAAAGGCTGTGATAGGAAATTTGTAATCAACCCACCGCGACCGCCCAGCGGCAAGGCCACAAAAGCCGGAGATGACGAGAGTGCGGACGACGCGGGCACACCCGACTCGTCCTGAGCGACCAGCCATGCCCCAACACCGTGAATGAATTAGGGGTTACTTCAATAATTGCTTTTTATAGTAATTGAATTATTATTATATATTATTGGAACATTGTCTCAATAATTGTTTATTAGTATTATTGAATTATTAGTTTTAATCATTGAAATTCGGTTTCAATTATTGTTTATTTTAATTATTGAACTATTATTGATTATTAGGAGAGCAAGTTTCAATTATATCTGATTAGTAAAGCAAGTTTCAATTGTAACTAATTATTAAAGCAAGTTTCAATTATTGCTAATTAGTAAAGCAAATTTCAATTATTGCTTACCCTATGAAAATATGAAAAATTGCTAACAGTTTATTTCTGCGTCTTGAGTCAATTATTAAATGATAACACCATTAACTGGGACCAGGTGGTTGTCGTCTGGCAACAGTCGTTGCCTGATTATTTATAATCTTGTTCAGATTTCGGTTTAGTAATAAATTAAGACATAAAAATCGTTTATGACGTTGGTAATGTTTGCGTAACCCTGGGAGGCTCATAGGTTGTGATTCTCTGTTCAGTTACGAGTGATGCTGTGGCTTTATTTATATTACCTTATTCCTTATGAATATTCTATCCTTTATACCAAGAAGAATATTGGTATTGACATTAAACACGGTTAACTTTATAATTTTAATTTTGCCATGCTCAATTTCCTGTGATCAGTTCTTGTAAGTTAATCAATCATGCAAAATATCATTTTGTTCCTCAGAGTAAATTTTTTTTTTTCAGAACGGTTTTTGCTGTTTGTCTAGTTTGTGGAAATGATTTTTACTTTAATTTCGTTTCCTTTTTTTGTCAGATATATCTATTTTAAATGTTTCTGAATCGAAAATTGTGGAAAAATACTCGACCTGAAACTCAAAAATAAGGAATTTCACAATGGGCCTTCCCTTGTTCTTGATGGAATATGTATATGCTGTAAATGTTAAAATTCAATCGTAGGCTATGGCTGTATTGACATTTTTCATGTTATTTCTACTTATATTACGAGTAAGACGATTATTTGGTTTCGGTGATGTCACTTCTTTACTTATAGTGTAGAAAGCCTTATTAGATAAAGCTCTTGTAAATCATGTGCTGGAAATGAATGTAAAACCTAGGGACTATAGATCGCCTTCAAAATTTCTGCGGAATTATTTCCAAGTCCTTACAAAATCATTTTATTTTAATTGGCAGCTAAGGTGTCGTCTTTACTGAGTAGAGCCTCGCCACACGCACTGCATGATGAGATCGAGCTCATAGGGACGATGTTTGTACCTCGTCTGATGTATGTCGCGTAATTCATTGATATCTTTACCCTTGTAACACTGCATTGGAACAAATGTAACTACAGCTACACTTGGTATGATTGTAACGTTGTAAAATTGTGCCGTCTGAAAACATTTTAAAATGATTTATCATAGGTTAATATCATATGGCAGATGATGCTGTTTTTCATATCTTACGAAAATTTTGCGTGCACAACTCAAACGACATTGTTACCTCTTTAGTATTGCAACATTAGGAAGTGTCGCAACATGAGGAAGTGTTGCAACATGAGGAAGTGTTGCAACATGAGGAAGTGTTGCAACATGAGGAAGTGTTGTAACCTAAGCAAGTTTTGCAACATAAGCAAATGTTGCAACATAATTAAGTATTGCAACATATATTCAGGAACCGTAGCCCTGTCAAGTACGTTTTTTTAAACTCTGCTGTCATTCATCGCTGCCAACTTTCCCTATTAATGAAAATTGCATTCCGCAGTTTGCTTTACCTCGGCCTTTATTTACTCTGTCTAAAATAAAATCTTTATAAATGTATACTCCAATTTTATATGAATTCTGAAAATGAATAAGTTTGATGCTGTAATTATAACAAGAATATCCAACTGTTTTTATTATCAAAATTTAATTAAATGGGACCTGGAACAAAAGTGTTGAATTAGACCATATAATTTTTTGGTGCTGCGTCGGCCTCGTAGTTTAAAACTTCCTGTTGAGAATACCTCGTTATCACGGTATGTGACAGCCTTCCCACTCCTGTTAAGCAAGAATTTTCAGGAAACAATAAAAACAGCCAACTACGGACATACTAATCTAATGTGAGGAAAACGAATAAAAAATCCTTCTGAATTATTGATTGCAAAACCTCGAACGTTATGATATTCAGATTACGAAATGATACTAATTATAATTAGGTAGTTAACTTCAGTTAACTACCTAATTATATTTGTACCTCGTCCACCTCGTTGTACTCACGCAGCCAAAATATGTCACACGAATAACGATCTTGGTCCACTGCAGAACGTTTAGTTCGTGGAAACTTCTGATTACGTGCTTTTCGATATTTGTAGACCTTTCGATATTGACAAATACCAAATCGCGTCAAGCAACTTATAGTAGTGGCAGCTGAACTTCCTAACATTATCCTATCACGCACTAACTACGATGTAACCACCCTGCTTTGGCATAAATCAGGCAATGACGTTCTTGCCATCACAAGTCTGGAACTCAATAAAAAAAATACTTTGTACCCAGGACGACACTTGTCGCCTGCAAAGCATGTTAAATGTCTGGTATGTAAGATGTTGCTTTTCTATACATCTCTTATATGAATGGTAATTACTAATTAGTATGACCTGATGGTGGTTCTTCTGTAGCGGGATCCGAGGATATAGACTAGAGGAACAGCATAAACGATTATGTAATATACTTGTAGGATTATAGTTCGGCTTAAAGTTTAGGATAATCTAAGTAAATAAGTTGGAGCTTTAACAATGATGTCTTCGGCGTCCTGTTGAAGTAAATAAATGAATGAGTCTAGACTCTAGAGTGTATCCGCGGGGCGTTCTCCACTCAGACGTTGAGCTAGCGTTACTGACCTGTTTGACATGGACAGGAGCAATGGGGTATACCGTAGCGGTCCTCGCTCAAGACTGAAGTTAATCGCTTGAGACAGAGCTTTTACAGCTTCGCTATCCGACGACACCGAGGGCGTGACTTAATAAACAGGGAAGGCAAATACAAGGAAATGTTTATGAACATATCGAAGTGAAGGAGATTATTTTTCAACAAGGAAGATATTAATGAGGAAATATCCAGGGACAAATGGTATCAATATTGTCACCTGACAGGTACGATGCAATTCGCAATGACAACGTTGTCTGACAGACCTCCGAAATCGCAGAAAATAGTTCAATAATTCCAATTAACATATGCATGAGCTTATTGGCAGCGCACTCTGCCTCTGATTATGAAGGTGAAAATTGCTAGTAGCACAATGAATAGCAAGTTGCCCAAAAGACCTGAATGGCAGGAGAAATAAACGATGAATTAGAAATAAAGAGATGCTGAAAATAAAGTTCACTCCGGCAACAGGGCTTGCCAGGGTCTCCTTTATTTTCTCCGTTAATGAATGCTCTTCCCCTTTTACTGCAACATTTCTGTGTCCTCTGTTCTCCAAGCTCGTATGCTTCTTCGTCTTTCGTATGCATATTCTTTTCTGATCTACATCACATATCCCTTCTTCGTCAGTCTTGTTGCTAACCTGTTATCTCTCATTAACGCTGCTGTTTTCCTATACTTTCTTCACTTCTGTTCACCTTCCCTAATCGCGTTTTCTCCTTTTTTATCCTTCTTATTCGGCCCTTATCAATTCTCCCTTTCATCTTCAGCTCACAGTTTTTCGTTCATAGTGCTTACTGATTATATTCTCCGCTTCCTTGTCCGCTCAACACGTTCGTCTGTCAAAACTTTTTGCCGTAGTAAATATAACACGAGATATTAAGAATAGAATAGAAGTGCTGGCACTGAAGAAACAGGCCCATGGCCTGTTGCCGATTCTTGTACTTTTATGGGCTTGATTCCACAAGGGATCCGGCCTTTTGAACCCGATCTTTCCATAACTGACGATTGAATAATTGAGATAGCTGATGGACTTATTGCCAGGTCCGTAAGGTGCTAGGCATTTCAAGACTGAACATATGTTCATGCATATGCAGCATAGCTTCGTCTAGCTCTAGTCTGTTCTTGAAGGCGTTCATACTCGGAGCGTCAATGATGCTATCAGGGCGGCTGTTCCACATGTCGGTGATTCGAAACGAGAAGAGATGTTGTCGCATGAATGTGATACGCCGCAGTTTTTTTAGTTTATAGCCGTGGCCTGTGGTGTTGGTTTTTGTTTCAAATTCTAGTAATCCTTCTGGGACCTTGTATAAACCATGAATATACTCGTATATTTCAAAGAGGTCACCCCGCAGACGTCGATAACAGAGGCTTGTAAGCTTCTGCAACTGTACTTGAGAACATTGCTCACACGATGAGAATATTGCTCATCTTATATTCATATATTCAATTTTTTCTCATCTACTTATTTGCATGAATAAATCTTCAGCATTTTAAATCAACTGTCCTTGAATACGTTCGATTGAAATTATAGTTGCAAATTATCAAATGTTAAAAATGTAAAACTTAGCGTTTACTCAAATATTTTTTTGAATTGCTTTCATATAAAATATCTGGGCGTCGTTCTTAAATGTTCAATGTTTTATTGTGTTACTCGATGCTTCAGTGACTCAAGTGAATAAATAGTTATGTTGATGAAAAACAATACTATTTGGATATCCTATACTCGACTATAAATTTTTATCGGTTCGCCAGAACTAATTCAAGCTACCAAGAAAGCCGACAATTAAACTATCTACATAGAAACCCTCCAATGGGATTAATCATAGTTGTTTATTTCTACTAATTTTGCTGTCTTGTAGCTATTTACTTGTTGTAGATTATCATAAAGGCCTACTTAGATAACACTCAATTACATCGGCGGCTGCGTGAGACGACCCAAGTCTGCCTACCTAACCCGACGAACTTTCGTAAGCTTAGCGGTGCAGTGGCGGGTCCTCTTGTATGGCGACTAAATTCTCAACCGAATTCCAAAAATTGTGGTTCTAAAACTGTCTATTGACAGTATTTATTACTTTATTTTCCATAATTTTCTAATGGACAATGACTTTTTAGTCTATTCCGTTCAAGTACTACTTAGAGATACTTTATACCTATAATAAACGTTTTCGATTATATCGTGAAAACAAAAATTACACATGCAATTTTCATTATAAATATTACTTTTTCCAATTACTGGCATATCGCTGAGTTTTTTTCGGATTATTTTATTTTAGTCAGGTATTTTTATAAACATAATAATTTTGAAAAACGCTCATCCTGCAGCTGAGAATAAGACCAAGTTGGCCTCAGAGGTTGGCGGCCATGACAGTCTGCTGAGTCTCGCCCTCGATGTGAAAGCAATGGTGGACTCAATGATTATCATTTCAAAGAATATATAGCACTCACCTTCTCTATTTTCTATTGGCTAAAGTTCAAGATGGCGTCAAATGTCTTATTAAGCTGTAGAGAATTTGTCGTCGGAGCCAAATATCGAATCGTGAGGAAAATCGGAAGTGGCAGTTTTGGCGATATTTACCTGGGAATGAACTTAACAAATGGAGAGGTAATTTTCTTTGTTTCTTATTACGTTGATCAAATTTGCTTTTTTAACCATTAGATGCTACGCTATTGATTGATAACTAAAAAAATCATTAGAATTGCTTTTAGCGGGTGTTATAACTTATAAGCCTTTCGTTCTAAGTTCCATTCGGTTTGATAAGTTTCTTGTTCGTAATCTTTGAATGCATGAAACTAGGTATACGACTAATCTTGTATTGTTGTGAAGATTTGCCATTTTATAGTCAAAATAAAGACTTTTATTGGCATTTATTTCTCGTGTTGCCAATTCGTAATCTATTATGTTTGTCCAATTTCTGCATTCTCATCTCCTTTGTTTAAAAAAACTCGTGCGAGTTGCTAGATTTGAACTTCCTTATATCTTATATTTATGACTTCCAAAACCAATGACCCACATTCATTGTGACTAGGTAACTTACTGCACTTTCAATTCCATAAATATAATATTATGCTGATGATCTGATCACAAAAGGATTGCGTTGCTGCTGGGACTAACCAGGTGATGCAATAATTTTCAAAGCTGGTTTACATGTTAGAAGATGAAGTTCCAATTGAATTTTGTTGGTAATATATAAAATTATTATATTCACATGGGAAGTTGAGCACAGTGAAAAATCTTTATAAATGAAAAGCAATACCTGTTATTGATAGTAGTATGTTAATAAATTAGGTAGATTCATAAAATCGGTTCATTGTTCTTCATTGTTTGGTCATATGATCATAGACATGATAGACCTACCTAGGTGTGAATATATCCAATTTGAAATATTAGGCAGCTATTTTGTAAAATCATTAGTTAAAATGATCATGACATGATGACACATCTGGTTTAAAAAATATAAGATGAAAATAGGCCACTTTTTTCATTTTTTTTGTAAAGAAATTAAGAAAGGAGTATTAAAACAGGTGAAATTGGCTATATTCATGGGTGTTTTTGTCCAATTTATGTGTGCTTTCTGCTCATTTCTTTCAAATGGATAGACATGCAATAACTCATTAAAAATATTATTAATAGCCTTTACATTTGCTCATTAGTGCCCTTCAAGGCTATGAATTCATGTTGAAATTCAAGGCTATGAATTCATTCTATTGAATAAAGCATTTATGCAATTAGTTCTGGCCTGACTGTTGCATTTTCTTCCTTATTGATTATGGCTTTTCTTTCATTTATAAATTTTAAACACAAGGTATTCCTGCTTTAAAATTTTTACTTAAATTAACTTTCCAGAGCACTAAGAATTGGAGTTCTAGCATAGTGCTGGAAAATGCCAGTCCAAAAACTTTTTTTTAACAATTTGCATATATACCGTAAAATGGGGTAACTTAGACCATTTTTTTTCTTATAAATGTTGCCATTTTCTTACTAGCTAAATTAAACTTGAATTGAAACATGCAAAATACAGGTCTATACTCTAGCTTCACTCACCATAAATTGCTGGCTCCTGCCTCTCATAGTCTTTATGTAATTTCAAAAAAAGTGATGGTCATTAGATATGCAAACTTTTTAAATCTTTCTATTGTGTTATGTAGCCTCAGTATTAGGCCTTTAATGCCATTGACAAAATTTTTCTATGTCAAATAGTTTTTGAGTTGTGGGGATTTTTGTAAAAAAAAATGAAAAGTGGTCTAAGTTACCCCGCCGGTCTAAGTTACCCCATTTTGCGGTACCTGAATTGTAACAGAAACGGCTATATTTGCCTCTCAATATTTTTAATCTAGCAATTTTGGTCCTAGGCTTGAATGAATTTGGTTGTATTGTTGAATTGCTTGAAAACAGATCTACTCTTATTTTATTGCAAACAAGAAACTTTTCAGTTGTTTGTTGTTTTTCAGAACTCTGAGTAGACCCTGGATACCACTCCAGAATACATGAAATTACTATAAATTCATGTAATTCACTATATTTGTGTATTTCTGCATATATGTAGAAGTTAGAAAATACAGGCAGAGCACTGTAATTATTATTAATTGTAGAATATATACATGTAGGTTCAAATGTACAAGAAATAACTCTAGGTGGAATGAGTCAATGAGGTAGAACAGATGAATCCAGCAGCCCAGTATTGCTTTGCTGTTCATGTTTAAAAGGTTGCAATTTATTCTCTTCTAAGTTCAAATATTTTAACCAGTAAAAGCTACAAGCACGTCTGATCTAAATGGAATATTTTATTCAAATACTTTTTGTGTGTAACCTTTTCATGGTTAAATCTTGAATCCATCACCTCCCCTTGATTTTAATAAAACTTTTCATTCATTGTTGGTATTAATCATTTATATTATCGGCCTTCAGTGTCTTATTATATCAATGGATAAAAAGATTGATATATACTGTTGAAGTTCATTATCAGTAATATAAATTTCAGTCCACTTGTTTGATATTGCTTTCCCACTCCAATGAAAAATGCTACAACTAATCTATATTTTTGAACTGGCACATCTCCCCACAAATTTATCTTGTAAATGAGTATATATGTTTCTATTGGTTTACTTTCTTAACCACTAGTACTACAGAATGAATCTATAGAAAAAATCCAGGTCTGTACTGAACTTCAGTATTTATCATATTTTTACTAGCATGAGATCATACCGTAAAATGGGGTATGACCACTTAGACCACTTTTTTTTATAAATGATGCCATTTTTTTACTAGCTAAATTAAACTTGAATTGAAACGTGCAAAATACAGGTCTATACTCTAGCTTCAGTTATGTGGCCTCAGTATTAGGCCTTTAATGCCCATTGACAAAATTTTTCTATGTCAAATAGTTTTTGAGTTGTGGGGGTTTTTGTTAAAAAAATGAAAAGTGGTCTAAGTTACCCCGCCGGTCTAAGTTACCCCATTTTACGGTAATGCTGATGCAAATGCCCCAATGCCTTACAATAAACATGGGATCTCCAGTTAATATTTCACTCAGATTTGTCAATGGTTTCAATAGTTTTGGTTGTTGTTTGTTAATTTGTTTATCATATGTGTATAACAAATGATATAAAATTAATTTTTGTTGTTGTAACATTGTATTTATGGCCACTTGAAGTGCCTGCTCACTAGCTATGATGATATTTACTAGCGTTGGTAATATTAGTTATGCAGTCTGATTTTGACTAGTCAAAGCTTCAGTACAAGGCAGGCAAGATTAAGATGACACAATAATTGATTTGCAGACCTAAAATTTATTATCTTGGGTGCTAATTTGGGGAGAAATTTTTTGAATTTAATTTTAATTTATTCAATGTTTATTTCATGGACTTTGGCTTGGTCCTCAGCTTTGAGCTGAGGTGGAGTTGGTTGTTGCTGAAAACAACTTGTTTTGTTGTTGCATCAGATGAGTGATCTGCTATGGGTTTGTTGATTGAGCAATGGTGACTTGATGCAATGTTGAGCAATGGTGGTTGAAAAACGAGAATGCAGTCTATTTCCAATACCGTAAAATGGGGTAACTTAGACCGGCGGGGTAACTTAGACCACTTTTCGTTTTTTTAGCAAAAACCCCCACAACTCAAAAACAATTTGACATAGAAAAATTTTGTCAATAGGCATTAAAGGCCTAATACTGAGGCTACAAAACACAATAGAAAGATTTGAAAAGTTTGCATATCTAATAGGTTAAAAAATTAAAAATGTGACCCACGAAAAAAAACTATTATTTAAAGCCTGTCAGAGTACCCCCTCCAATTTTTTTATTTATTGGTTAAATAACTCCAGGTTTTGATGCATTGTGGTAGAACTCTTCTAGTTACATATGCAAATGACAAATTTTAGGAAAGTGTCACAGTTTGCAAATGGGGGGCGCCGCCCCCAAATGGGGTAACTTAGACCACCTAATGTCAGCCCTGACGGGGTAACATAGACCGGCTTGGAAGTTAATATAAAATTACCATATATAAAATACTTTATGTTTGACACTCTTTTTATGTTTTTTTTTTATGTTTCAGACTCTACAGAGTCTTATATATGGTAATTTTAACTTAATTTCCAAGCCAGTCAATATTACCCCATCAGGGCTGCCATTAGGTAGTCACATTTTCCTCATTATGGGGCGGTGCCCCCATTTGCAAACTATGACACTTTCCTAAAGTTTGTCATTTGCATATGTAACTAGAAGAGTTCTACTACAATGCACCAAAACCTGGAGTTATTTGGAGTTATTTTACCAAAAAATATAATTGATTTTACCACCCGGTCTAAGTTACCCCAAGAGCTGGGGTAACAAAGACCATCACTTTTTTTGAAATTACATAAAGACTATGAGAGGCAGGACCCAGCAATTTATGGTGAGTGAAGCTAGAGTATAGACCTGTGTTTTGCATGTTTCAATTCAAGTTTAATTTAGCTAGTAGAAAATGGCATCATTTATAAAAAAAAGTGGTCTAAGTTACCCCATTTTACGGTATACCACTTAGAGTTAGCAAGCTAAAATTGTTCATGAATTTCTTGCAACACTTTTCATGGATGTTTGATGGATTTCTCAGATTATTTGTTATAAACCTATCAAGCTTCAATGAAGTTGGCTTAGTGGATGGATAAAACTTGAATAGTTTGATATTTTATTTGACACATATTAGTCTAGACTTATTTTTATTTTATCAACTTTCTAAAATTGTAATTCTTACCTCAAGTTGCTGCTCATGAGAATGGCATGTTTATGTGGGGTTTTTCTAGTGATTAAGTCTTCCTAAGAATGTAATACAATTTTTGTCATCAAAAACCCTAATAAACACATTTTGTGCGCACAAATCTTGTCTTGGTGATCATGTGTGAGTAAATAATAATTTGCATGCAGGGGGTTCAGGCTCTATGGAAATTAAGTTGCATTTGAAATAAATTTATTAATTTATCTGATATATTTGCCTTCTGGTTTGTAGGAGGTGGCAATTAAGTTGGAGCAAATGAAGGCCCGCCATCCACAGCTGCTCTATGAGAGTAAAGTCTACAAAATTCTCCAAGGAGGAGTTGGTATCCCTCATATAAGGTGACCAAACTAACCTTCACTTCTACTCTTAATGGAATAGGTTTGCATTGCCTGCACAATCTGAATGTCCTGGAATTGCAATTATTAGTATTATTGTTGTTTAATCTCATTGTCTATTCTTGCTTGATTTGATGCACTAGGGAGCTATTTAAGAACAATTAGTGGGTTATTTGGATAAATACAATATTCATCTAGAGGTGTCTTAATCAAGATTTTGTTTCAAGGTCTCCTAATGATTTTGATGTAAATATTTGTCTGATTCTCAAAAATTGACATGCGTTGTCCTCCTGCTCATGATTGGGTTAGGTACACAAAGTGTTAGAATTAACCTTTCTTGATTTTTTCTTTTAAATGATTCGTGTTCCTGCCCTTGATTATCAGCCTAATAATTATTATAGAAATAAACTTAAGATGGACAGATGTTCAATATTTTTATTGAAAGGAAATGTCTGTGCTTTGTAATGAGTAGTTTGGTGCTGCCTAGGCTTCAAATAACAATTAGTTTATTTGGAAGCCTTACTTTTTATTTTATTGCATTTGATATAATTTCTTGTATAAAATGTTTGAATGTGGTGCAGATGGTTTGGCCAGGAGCAATCTTACAACATCCTTGTGATGGATCTGCTGGGTCCTTCTTTGGAAGATCTCTTCAATTTCTGCAGTCGCCGCTTCACTATGAAGACTGTGCTCATGCTGGCTGACCAGATGATTGCACGTGTTGAGTTCATCCACACCAAAAACTTTATACACAGAGACATTAAACCTGGTCTGTATATGTACTATCCTGTTGTTTTTTGTAATGGAATGCTCAATATTTCTCTACAGAAGCTTTGAAACTGGGTTGTGTATAGCATTGTTATTGTTGCCTTTGGTGGTGTGATTATAGCAATTTCCTCGTGATTACTAATCTTCTGAATTTGTTTTGTGGAACTACCCACCTTCAATTTGTGACGTTTTCTTGATGCCAGTGCCTGACAATTCTTTTATGTTTGTAGAGTGAAATTTCTGACAACTTGCTACCTTGTTCAGAAACTTGCATTATTGATGACAATTTCCACCTCACCAATTTTTAATTTAAGACAAATGTATTTATTTTGCCTCATAGCTTCTTTGACCATGTCAGTAATGTAAAAAATTGGTCTCTTAATCATTCCAATTTGCAGACAATTTCTTGATGGGCATTGGACGTCACTGCAACAAGCTGTTCCTCATAGACTTTGGGTTGGCAAAGAAGTACCGCGATACCAGGACACGTACGCATATTCCCTACCGGGAGGACAAGAACCTCACTGGCACAGCAAGATATGCATCCATCAATGCGCATCTTGGCATTGAACAGAGGTAGCCTGGCCACTCTACTTGTAGACTCTGATATATTATTCAAAAGCTTATGAGCTCAATCGTTTGAATCTATCTCGATATGACACTAGTTGAAGATTAATTGATGCTGCGCGGCCATTTATTAAAATTGAGTCTAGGTACTTTATTGCCTGAATTTAGTTTTGAATTTACCTGTTATTTGCAGTCATACTTTCATTGCATTGAGTTGATGGTTTCAAGTTTTCAGTTTGATCCAGATGTCCGTTTAACTAGCTGTTATTCTATGAAAAATATTTTACTACAGTTAATCAGTCAATTTTGAATTCAACTTCATTATATTCAAGTCAGTTTATTGCGGGCCCTGTAATCAATTATTTCAGCTCCTTGATAACCTTTGGCTTTATACTATGCTTTCATCATTAATTTGTTTAGCGATAAACCCTTAATGAAGAGCATCTTCTTCAAAAGAGGCAGGAAACATTTTTTTATAAAATCTCTATCAGTTATGAAGATAGAACACAGTAGCACTCAGAACTGCACTTCTGGAAACACTTCTGGCAGCTCTGCTAAAATGTTTTACGCAAGTTGAAATTGAAGTATTATGCATTGGAATTATTTCATCTCAAATGTTGTATGTGTGAACTGGTCGATATTTAGCACCCCTCCTCCAGGCAAGGTTTGGAAACTTGAATGTTCTTCTCGTCGTGTGAAAGAAAAACTCGTCCAAGGCAATGTCAGAGCTTGAAAATTTTTAATTTTGTTGCTTAAATGTTCTCTTGAAACATAGTGAATCTAAAGACAACTCAATACTGTAACTTTTCTTTATGAGATGTGCCTATCTTGTAATTTGTACCTCCATGTCCACTATAAGCAATAAGCACCAACATGGCAGCAACAGCTCTTCCAAGCAATTGTTTTTGATTTGAATGCTTGATATGCATTCAACATGTCATCTTTTATCTTGATTAGAACAAATGGAACAGTAAACGCGTTTGTCTCCTCTCCCCGCCTTTCAATATCTGCCTGCTCAAACCAGGCGAGTCTTTATTTTGTGTCTGCTTTAGAGCTATCTTCATTACGTGCATTCATCACTTCTGACATCATCAATAAATAAACTCACCATATTTATGCCTCAACTGTTTTCAGCTTGTTAAGAACGGTTTTTGTTGATTATTTTTTTATTTTTGCTTTGATAGCTGTTTTCTGTTGGGTTTTTTATTAATCTCTGTAGTTTTTAAATTTTTCTTTTATTTAATATAAGAATGTTTTTCTTCTTTCCAGCCGACGTGACGACATCGAATCCTTGGGCTACGTGCTCATGTACTTTAACCGCGGTAGTCTGCCGTGGCAAGGCTTGAAAGCTGCCACCAAGAAACAGAAGTATGAGAAAATCAGCGAGAAGAAGATGTCCACTCCTGTTGAGGCCCTTTGTAAGGTGAGTATAAATCCGGCCGGCCACGCCCTTACTAATGTTGGCTCGGTCTGAAGCGCTAGAAATCTCTCTCCTACTACCAATGTTATCTCTAAAAGTCTTTGCTATCCTCTGTATGGTTAACCCAAGATATTCTGTTTTGTGTAGGTAGTTCAAGAGAATTTGAATTTCATCTAGTAATGGAATTTTTGTTCGTGTTCGACCAATTTTATGATGCACTTCATCATAAAGATGATATATTTGTGTGTAAACATTACAATTATTATGGAACTGGTGGGAAATACATACATTTGATTTCTTTTACATGTCTACATTCATAATGCCAATTCTCAAACCAGAATTATTTTTACAGGCCTTCCCTGCGGAGTTTGCAATGTACCTTAACTACTGCCGAGGGCTGCGGTTTGATGAGCCCCCTGACTACATGTACCTTCGTCAGCTGTTCCGCATCCTGTTCCGCACCCTGCACCACCAGTACGACTACACCTTTGACTGGACCATGCTCAAGCAGAAGGCAAATAACACTCTGCAGAGCGCGGCGACTGCTGCCACAGCACCTGGGGCCACCGTACCTACCCTCACACAGCAGCCTTCAGGTGGGTGGTGAGAATAATTCAGGTTTATTCATCATTATTTATGCTTCTCCAATGATTAATACCGATCAAATAATAACGCCAATTTTACTGTGCGCTGTTCTCAAATCAACTGTGGTACAAGTATATCTAAATTTCCGAACTTTTCCCTGGAAATCTGAATTTTATTTTTGTGTGCAGGTCACTAGCATCTCAAATCGATCGCTCTCGGAGACCCCTTAGCAACACTGATGTACTTTTCTGGCTCCGGCTGCTGAAGCTACAGTTATGACGTTCTATAAAACAGCTACAACTGCTGCCGCTCTAGCCACAGCTTTTAAGCGCGCTACTGGTATAGCCAAGTTGAGAATGCTTGATCTGTCGGCAGTAAAGCTACGACTCGGCAGTCCAGCCAGTGTCATGTCAAAAGCTGCGGAAACGGGCTCACTCACTACGGCTTTCTATATACATTACCTTTGCTTCTTTTTCCCCCATGTCTTTCCGCATCTTTTCTCATAAGACAGTCTAATTATTCATTGCCCCAAATTCTTCATTATTTTTTAAACTTTTAATCTTTGTTTATTCATCTCTGAGGATTTTTCATTTTCAACCCTATGCGTTTCATTTTTGCACCTGGGACTTATCTACAATATTCTCCTCTTTTAGAAATTGCCCAATTGTTTCTTCTTTAGGATCTCAAATATTTTTTTTTACATGGGATGCTATTGATTTTCTCTGAGGGAGGTTATTTTATTTTGTTGAACTAGTTTCTTTTTTTCATAGTTTGTTTGACATGATTAGTTCTCGAGTGGCTCATTCTGTCATGAACTAGTTTTGAAGTTCTGCCCTCGTCACGTCAAACTAATGTAACTTCACTCTAGGAAACCATTAATTAAACAAAATAAATATTCTAGATTTTAGAGGTCATACTTTATGGATGATAAATGCTGTAAATATTTGCCTAGTGTGTTGACCATTATTTTTATTATGATTTTCATTGATAATGAATGAGAACGTAGGTCGGTTCTTTGCCACTCAGAACGATCACGCGTTTCTTTTCTTGCTTGCCTGACAGGAAATCTAGAGATAAAGATGCCTGGAATAATGTTGCGGCAAAAAATGAAGTCTGTGTAAATATCGAAGTAAATGATGGAATCAACTTGGGTTGCGAAATGCGTGTTATCTGTAATGATATCTATCGAAACGTTGGATCAGAAACCTCTTGCAAATAAAAAATTGTCTTTTTCTCATTTTGGTTTCTAAAAGCCACTTATACTTTGATTAGTAGAAATTTACATCTTACCAACTTTTTTGACTTTGGAGCTTGATTGGGATTCAATGGAGCAGAATAATAAATATTTGAAATGATAGTCAATGAAGTGCTAACCCTCCGGGTATTAGGCACAGTAAATTCTTCCTCTTGATAACCGTTATAAAAGGTTAATAACGGTTGTGTTGAATTCGACAACAATGTCTATTGGCATAAGTAATATTTGATAGACTGAACATGGAACTATGACCGCACTTTTCAGGTGGGCTAGATTTGTGGAAAGTATTCTTCGGGAGCGTACTTAACCTTTGATTATTGGCTTAATAGATGTGTTCGGGACGTACTAGCTACCACTCCTGGCTTATTAAATGAATGAGACGACAATGCCCGTTGTGTTTCCTAGGTCATGATTTTAGAACATGGAAGACATTGTTGTTCTTGAAGTCGTCTCCCCCGTCTATCTCTCTTGCTCTGTTCTTTTTCTGTCTATGAGCTAGTATATTAACTGGTGATCTGGTAGAGCTTTCATGTTCTGAACTGATTGGTTATCGATATTTCCTTGTGGACGTGTAACGATACCGTTAATAAATAAGTGATGCTGTAGATAGCTGCACTTTTGGGATTAGGGTCACCTTATTAGTAGATGCTTCGATATTTCGTGTAACCAATATCATTTTAGACACGTGCTGCTTTATTTTGATCAGTGATTAACGAGCATCGCTTCAGAAAAGCCTCGTCTCCATGACGAACTTGGTGAGGCTCAATGTTGCGTATTGCTTGTCTTGAAGGGATTATGTGCATAGTGACGCGATCATGGAAGATTTCCTTGTACCTCCGTACTCTAGGCTTATGGTATAATACTAATAATAATGTTAATGTTAGTAAACTTATTTGCTGTTGTCTCGGAATGCAATGGTAATTTAATCGAAGGCTCCTCACATGCCCATTTCTTGTGACAAGAAAGGCAGCTCCGAATGTGAACCACAAGGCGGATTTTTAAATGCTGGGAAGCTGACAACACGTTAGAATTGTAGACGAAAGTAAATATTTGAAACTGGAAGTATTGAAATTTTTGTCACGATTTTCACCTGCTTAAATGGGCGACTAATTTTTGGAGTCATCCTTGAAGTTGATCATCGCGCTAGTAAGATAAAGACTTGCCCTGTAGGATGCGTCTCGAATGAAGATACGATTTGACTGATGTAGGAAGTTAGTTTCCCGACGTCAAGTATAGATTTTTGTCAAGAAACCGCGTTCTGAACGATGCTCTTTGGTCAAAGCCTTTAAACTAACAAGGAATTTCCAGAGAGTATTGCTTGAGCATCACTAACCTTGTATCTCATCTGCTGTACGTCAGCGTAGTTCCTTGATAGCGTAACAAGCGCGCCTCCCGAAATAAAAGTCCAGGACCGCTCGTAGTCACCTTCCACTTGTCATCCTACGAGTTCTCTTGTGTTGCGGCCGCACCGGCCGTTTCCTACGTGCGTGTCCACTTGTGCTTACATATGCTTGGTGTATGTAGAACAAAGATCCCGTGTGCATTTCTAGACATATTGTGATATTTTATCTGTGAAGCGATGTTTGGTTTTTACTGCGAGTTTCTACCTGACGGCTTCTTCCGTTGTGTTGACTTTCTTCATAACTTAGATGATGTCATGTTTTCGTTTACTCGTGAGTGAGCGTACATTAGCTAGCACCACACCAACACTGAAGCTGAAATACTGCACTAACGTAGGCATCGTTGTTTTAATGAATAGTTGTATTATTGTTTTTGTAAGATCCCTTCACTTGTATCGCTTTCAGTATCGAAATCGTGTTAGTATATCTTTGAAATACATCATCTTAAGACTCGATTCATTGAAATTCATTACCATCGCCTTTTTACTGCATCGCTAGCATTTCCTCCAATATAATATAGGTAATGCATCGCCCGTTTTATTTTCTCATCCTAAGTTATACAAGATAATTTACTGAGTTGAGTAATTTTATCGTTCGCAAATCCATACTTTTAAGCTCAGCCCCTTTTTGAATCAAGCTTGAAACTTTGCTGCCAAGTAAGTCTCGAATAAAAATATCTCCAGATAATCGAGGAACCCTTTAATTATAATGCACTTCGTTGATTACACATTCACCATCACTTTGGACTCTTGAGTATTGGTTGTTGACAGTTCCCTCACTCCTGAAATTCTGTCCACGATATATCTTTAGATCGCGCAGTGCTTGTTCTGGGCACGTTGGCGGGTCAAACCAAACCGTTTAATTCTGCTATGAGTCATTAAATTGAGGCTTGCGTTATTTACTTTTGTTTTATCAAAATTTCAACAGAGCAGAATGTATATTAGATTGAATAAAATGCGTCGCTTTTCGTAAACTGAGAATATTCAAAATGACTGGAAAATTTTGACACGCATGTCGATGTCTCATGTTCCTCTATGCTGAACGCCTAACGGCAGACCTAAGCGTCCTCGTGTCACTTAGCATAATGTCAAGTACAGATAGCTCATTTCGCTTCATCATCAGAACATTTCTATATTGAATATAACACAATGTTAACATGATGTTGATGTGCATGGTGCAGGCAGATGACCGAAAAATCTTTTGAATTTACGGAGCTCACTAATGGTTAAGAGCGAATGTGCTGCACTTGCCGAACGAGATATGGGCATCGTATTTGTGACTCGTGTCTAGGAATTTTCGAACGAGTAGTTTGTATATATTAACTTCGGGAATGATTGATCCCTGTGCAACTTTCACCTTGTTTGATGTATATCGTTCCAGTTTGGACTCGTCTTGAAAAATAGTTACGCAACAATCACATATTGTCGTCCTTTTTATGATCGTAATTAGTGCAGGGCTGAATATCCATGTATTTATCAGGACCTGCCACGAGCTAAATTTATTCAATCAGCTTATATAATTTAATAAATCCAACTTTTCTTATGGATACGAAGAGTATCTTGACGATTTCCAAGCTCATTTTGGTAGATCGTGTAGGCTAACTAAAGGTATTTCACGCATGGAACAACTCAAGTTCTTTGGCTTTATTTAGGTTAATGCTTTTATCGTGTGTCATGTGTATCGGGGATACCGATGCATGTTCTTAAGAAGAGTGTGTAGTGATTTTGACAGTTCATAACTTCATGGTGGCGTTATGTTCTACATTATAGTTCGTGGTGGCGTTTTGTTCTATATTACAGTTAGTTGTGCTGGTCGCTCTGCGTGACTTACGGCACTGATGGTGGACGACTTCAAGTCGGCCTCTTGATCTAGGAAGTAAAGTATGCGTCCTCACTCTAAGATAGAAAATTAAGATTTAGTAAATGTAAGATATCTTACGGAACCCAGAGTTTCGCTGCCGTGAGGAGGTGCAGAAGTCTATTATAAACTCATGTTCTTTGGTGACACACCGTAATAAATAAATAGCCACAAATGCATCACATCGTATGTCCATGCCCTACATTTATGAGGTTTATTATCTGAAATATGACGTAGAGTTGAAGAGCTGCCATGTTACTGACATGTTAGTTTTTCCAGAACCTTTTGTGTGTACAACTGCACTCAGGCGTAGGAATATCTCGTAATTTTTTTTTTTTTTTTTGTAATGGCCTTTCTTGTTGTGTTCTTGATTGCGGCGTCACTTAGATGCTCTGCACGTGTAGGTATCGTTTGATAGAGTTGACCTATTGCTTGTATAGCAGCCGTCGTGACGTCTCATTGGCTTACGGGCAATTGTTCAGACCTTCCGATATCGTTACTTGCAGCTTTCCATTTAAGTTCAACCATTACATTACATTTATTAGCCATTTACCAGTTTCTGAGGTAGAATATTTTATAGAAAGGTTAGATGACCCGAAGACGACAAAACAGGCCTCACATCGACGTAACAATTTTCGAGAATTTGGGTTTAAAGCTTGGAGTTAATTTTTCTTTCTTTCCCCTGAATTTCCGAAACCGAGGGAATTTGTAAATACGTTTCCTTAGTGGCTCTTTCCAGGGGCTTTAGATATTTGCGCTATAATATATGACATCGCTTTGTGTTATCTTCTATCTACATTTCGAGTTGAATTATTTGTCGCTTATTTTGTACACAATGATCCTGTTGATCACTCGCTGGAGCTTCACTATTGTGTGGTCAAACTCAAATCTTTACGTTCATGGCAGATTTAGGCGCTCAATAGAAGAGAGAAAAATGAATTTAATATTTAATATGATTAAATGTTAGGTCTCAAGCTTCGCGTGAAAAGAGCATCTAAACTTAAAAAAAAAACTTGACGCCAAGTGGGTATTGCAAATTCTATTTGCTGAAATTAGTGATGCATTGATTATGTAGGTATCTCGACCATTTTAGGTCGAGATACCCAATCATTCATTAGGTATCTCAACCAATTATCTTATTTTAAAAAGGCTGTCAAGTAAATTTACAGTTTTTAGTTGTGTTATAGATTGTGTTTGATCAAATGTTATCATTGGGATACATAATTCTATAAAGGCTACTATTTATTTCGTTCAATAATTTACGAAACCATTGAAATATCTGGATACTGAACTTGAAAATTTTCTGCAACTCAACAACGTAGCGGAATATGCCTTCATATGGCCAGGAACGTAAGACATGCTTTTTGTATTACATAGCGTAGTAGCTTGGTTACTCTATAGGAACCTCGATTATTATTACAAAAATACGAAGTAAAGCTGTATTCGAAGCCCATTGCCGTTATCTTGTTCCTTTTGTCTATGTTTTCCCACTGACATGAGCGAACCTCATTAATCATGAAGTTTTGGCCCCCTCAGGGGGGACTTCTGACGCGTGCCTGTGCTCGTCAGAAGTCTTATGGGAATGCGCGCTCCTAGGGGGATTGTTCCTGAGCGTCTGACTGCAGGTCTCAGTTGTGGGATCAAGTTATTATGTAGGTAGGATTTCTTTTATTAAGTTATTATGTAGGTAGGATTCCTTACATTTCCCTTCTCTGTCTCTCTCGTGCGGGAGGCCGACGTCCTGTGTAAGCGACCTTTTGTTCTAGTGTCTTAGTTTCTGTTGCTTTACACCTGTCCCTCCTTGTCACTCCGTTTCTTTGAGATGCTAACGCTGTTTCTTTCGAACCAGCTTCAGCGGGCTGGACAACTGAGACCTACCGCTCCTTGTGGGTGATGATTAATTTGAAACTGAATAATTGAGACTTTTCGCCTCGCTGGCGATGTTAACTTTTGACCTCCGGTGCGAAATAGCTTGATAGCTGAAGCTCTAGTAAACCATTCTACTACTTGCTTACTAATCACGACCTTATTAAAATATTGTTGTCCAGTTTATTATTGTAATTTTCACTGACAAGTCGAAGTTTGAATTTTTTTATCGGTGAATAATATGCTGTCGCTCGACTACATAAGTTATATTTGGTCATACTACGGCCAACTATTTGACGCTCATGGAAGATAGTCTCATGTTGTACATTGAGAAATTACCAAATTACCATTAACACATAAAAATTAGTTTTGAGATTATTAGCGTTGCGCCATCTTTTCTTCTTTCCCATCTGCCGATTTTGAATAAATCTGAAGTTTCAATACATGATTATTTTCCATAGCATTTAACTGGAACAAAACCTGCAGCGAGTTTCAAGCTTTCAGGCAACTGTGTATTTATCTTCTAAAATTAGAATACGCGATAGCAGAGTATTTTTTGACCAACATAATGCGTAAGAATTTATCGATTGAACAATATCTCCTACGAAAGCTGCTGCTTTGACCATTTTCTTCTTAAAGAACATTTAGACCTAATCGCCGGTTTGTAAAATATTTATGGAAACTATTTGATTGATAAATTCAAAGACATTTATATGACTTGAAAAAAAAACTTATTTCTACCATGAGTCAATGAAAACAAATTAAGCATTTTGCTCCTGTGAAGATCAAATAGCTCGGTACTGTAGTAAAGACTAAATCGCAATCATCTCGGTTTATCCTTTAAAATTGTAATCAAACAACTGAGAGGTCTTTCTAGTTTCTATCGAAGTCGCGAGATCATACGTTTTTTTAAGACTTGAATAGTTGAATACAAATTAAAATGCGTATTGATAGGTGTTACTTTTGTTCATTTCCAGTTTATCCTGGGCATGGAACTACATTTGTTCGTAATGATTGTAAGGTACGTAATTTTATGCTAGTCTAGGACTCTAGGTAGAGTTGCTACTAGCAACTCTAGCCTAGATAGAATTCTAGATTTAAGTTCACGTCTTCTTCTTCTAAGTTCTAACTAGGTACCCTGTACTGTAGTGAAAATAAAAAATACTACCTAACAATGAGATTTAAATCTTGGATTGCTACACAGGATCTTCCACTTCCAGACCTCAATTTTTGATTCCAGTGTGACCTTGTTTTCAAGTTTAACTCATCTAGGTACCTAGCCTACTATTTGATGATTTGATCTGACTCCAAAAGATCTCTATCATCTCTAATTTTCTCTATATAGGTAGGCAAATAATTAATCAGTCGTCAAGGTCTCTCAAGAAATGACAAGGATTATGATAGAAAACTGCTTTACCTACAACAATTATTTCCTTTATTTCATGCAAATCTTCAAGCTGAGTTAGCCTAGCTCAAGCTAGCTGACCAAAAGTTGATCATCAAATTAATTATCATTGCTCTCAATGTTAAATTTTTTCTTTTGTGAAAATCTATTTTGAATCAAAAGATAAGAAGAGCTAGATGCTAGTGAGCTACTTGTGGTAAACTTGCTAAGAAAACACCCTGAAAAAGAAAATGCAGAGCTCATAAATAAATTCTTGAAGCATGATGCAATTTTATAATCAATATAACTAGAACATGGTAGCCTATTTTGAGATTTTGAATCAATCAA